TTAAAAACAATGAAAATATCATATTTGAATGAATTGAATGAAAATGGCAATAATTCTATAACGGAAAATCAACTAGAAGTACTCTCAATAGCTACATTAAAATATGAAAATATAATAGATATTTCAATAATAATGTCAAATTTTATATATTTAAAACTATTAGAAACGAATAATTATGAAATTTGTTGTGCTACTTTTGAAAATTTGCCAAATATTGAATGTAAATGGAAATATGAAAGTGAATATTCATGTAATACTCTAATTATAAATGATGTTAATTCATACACTTCAATCATTTTTGGAATTATTGTATTCATTCTTGTAATTATAGAACTTCTTATGAAAAGTTTTATAAAATACAAGTATAAAGGAATGACTTACGTATATCTTATCAACAATATCGTTTTAGCTATTAATAATATTATGATGGTATCATATAATGTTTATAGAGGAAACAATTTAAGAATAAACTATATTCTATATAAAGATGATAGAATATGTCAGCTATCTGGAATATTAGGCTTAATTAATATTATTGTTCACATTATTTTTCTTTATGATACAATGATTGCACCTCTACTTGACCGAATTTTATTATTGGAGAAGAGACGCTCCAGATTAAAATTATTACTAAACGTTTCTTTTTATAGTTTATTAATATGTATATTACTTTTGTTTATTTTAGCAGAGGTAAGACTATGTTTGTGTTTGTTTTGAAATCAAATTGATTTGTTATTAATTCTTATACTTTTAGAGAAATAATTGGTTTATTGCTAATTGTAAACCTCTATTTCTAAAACGACAATCAAGTCCTATACTATTCTCTGTTTTATTAACAATATATGTATTAATTATTAAAATATGTTTAGTTATATTGCTATTATCGCTAAAGAAACGTAACAAAATGATTAAAAAATACATAATTCGAATAATAATATTATTATTGTTTTATATTTTCTTGATTATTACAAGTTAGTATTAAAATCTCCAATATTTTCATTTAATATTAAGATAATTGATTGATTGTTTTATTAAATTTTTAGTTAGTTTACCAAAAGGACAATTTGTAAAACTTTACTCATGGAATATATTATTGTATCAAATTTTACCAAATATGGTATTTTTATCATTTCCATTTGTTTCTAATTTCAAATTCTATTATATCTATTTTAAAGAAAGAAGAATAAGAGAAAAGTTTGTATGCTTTAAATAAATATTAGATTTACTGTCTAAATATATATACATATATATTTATAAAGGAAAAAAGCTATATCTAAATTCTATCAAACTGTTATATATCCAAGTAAGTTATTCAATTAGTATTGAATTCAATAGGATAAATTTTTATATAAATATGAAAAAGTTATGAAGATTTTAGCTTTTCAATGTAAAAATCTAGCAATTTCATATAATAATTGCTATAATAAAGTGGCAAATACTAATTTCTTGTTTAAGTTTACGAAGAATTGGTTTTATTTGATTAATGAAATGCATAAAAGAAACTGTTTTATTAATTGTAAAATTGAACAGGAATTTTTTGAGGATGACGTAACACTTTACATAGTTTAATGTGTATTTTCTATTGTATATACTTAAATTATAGATATTTGAACAAATTAACAATATTTCAAAGAATTTAACGTTTTCAAAGGAAAAGAATATGCATTTAAGAAATGTTTATGATTTAACATTTATTTTAAGAAAACTATTACAAATTCGAATTGCTGAAAGTAAAAGAAATACATGAAAACTTAAAGAAAAGAGAATCTCTAAAGATTTTTCAATACGTAATTCAAAAATTTTTGTAGAATTTTACCAAATTCATAAATATTTTCGTATTGATGTTCTTCTTCAAATTCTAATAATAAATTTTCACTTTCTACCAAAAGAAATACTTTTCTATATTTAGAGAGTTTAGTCTAAAAATTGAATAGTGAACAATAATAGAATACGTTTCAATCTATTTATAAATATACACACGTTAATATATATTTGTTGAGGATAAATATTCTTCAATTGAATATATTTTGAATGAAGATAATTTAAACTAATCATTAATTGAATTGATATAAATTTTAAATCTTTCAAGTATTTCATATCGTCTTTTGTTAAATAAGAAATATTTCTAGATTGAATCACTTTTTCAATACTTGAAAATACAACGTTGTTTGAGTTAATTCTAAATAGTTCCATACCTATATAGATTTTTGTTTTACAATCTAAACAATTTAGATTAGTAGAAGAACACTTACAATTATTTAAATGTTCAACAGCTAATTTATCGTAATATTCGAAGCGATCTTTTCTACTATTTGTCACTTTCCTTTTAAGATTAATAAAAAAGTAGACTATTGGATAAGTGAACAGGTTTATCGATATAAATGGTAGAAAAATAAACTTGTAATTGTCATTTGTTAATGAACTTTTATCTAATAAGGCTAGAAATCCTTTAAGAATTATAAAAGAAACATTTCAATTTAAACAATCTAATCAACGTAAATACTCCATAAACCTAAAATAAAAAATGGTGTCCACGTAGTAAAATATGGAATAAGAGCTATAGCAACTGTTGTCAATATTTGAAAAAATCTTGCCATCATCTGCTTATTTGTCAATACTTTACTCGATCTATTAATGACTCTTATTGTAATTGCATAAAAATAAATATTAACAAATAATAATGGTAACGGCAGAACAGAAAATAGACAAAATGTATAAATCCATCCATTAGACTTTTCATTTGTTAGATGAAGAGAAAAGCACAATGAATATCTTCCATAATAGTTCTTTTATACCAAAACATATTTAAAATAATGTGAATAAAGTGTCAAAAACACGATATGTTAATGTAAAACACACCTTAAATAGATATATAGGTAAAATTGAACACAATATTGAAAAAAATATTGCCATAGAAACCATACAAACTGTTCGTAATAGATTAAAATATTTAGAACCTAAACCGAAGACGATGACGTAATATTTCTCAAATGTTAGAAAGAGAATGCTACAAAGAGAAAGGATTGAGGATGTTGAACACAATGTTCCACTTAAATTGCAAAGAAAACTCCGTCTCCAGTTTCTATCGTATTCGATGTATTTTCCGGAATATCTCAAATCTTGAACAACAATGATTAATACATATAAAGCCATTAACAGATTTGATAAAACTAGTTGAATTTGAAATAAATTTGAAGGTCGTTTGAAAGATTTTATAGAATGAAGAAAGGTCGATATATTGCCAAACAATCCGAAAAACAGCATTATGTATAGAAAAACTGCAAAATATACAAATATTTATCATTCGCAAACTACTCCCTAAATGGTAGGGAAATGTAAGAGATTGAACTATTCAAACGACTTACTTCGTAATCCGATCGAAGATAAGAGATTATCGCAAGAATTGAATGAAGTTTGTTGGGGAAAACATTCTTCCAGATCTTGATATTTTTTAGCAAAACAACAATAAAAGAAATAGTCGCTTTTCAAGTATTTCAAATTGGTGTTTGAAAACATATCTATTGGAATTCTATCATTTCCGTTTAATGACGTTCCTCTTAACGATAGGTTCCTTAAATTTGTCATTCCTTTGAATATATCGTTAACATCATGTATGATTGAGTATTGTAAAATCATGGTTTCAACTTGCGCTTGGTTGATGAATGTTGATGTGATTAGTTGTGTTAAAACAACGTGTGATAGATCGAGGAATAGAAGATGATCGAGTGCCTGAAACGCCGTTTTTCCAATATTTGTGATTTTGTTTCTACTTAAATCAAGGTAAATAAGATTTTGAAGATATTGAAATTGATTATCGATCAATTCAACAATTGAATTATTATACAAAATCAAATATTTCAAATTTTTACAATTATTCAAAAGGTTAATTTGGTTAAAATTTGCACTTTTAATAGAAATTTTAATGATAATGTGCTGAAAATGATTTTGATAAGTAAAATAAGTTAAATAATCTTCGTAATCAACGTTTTCAATCAGTAATTCTTTGAATGTGAAATTAAAAAATCCGACTTCTTGAAAAGGTTCTGTACATGAAATATAAACAGAAGATGGACACGTACAGCCTTTCGGACAAATTACATTTTTAAAACAGGTATATTCGTCTTCGTCATCTCCTTCAGGACAGTCGAGACTACCGCACAAAAGTGATGTCTCTGTACAAATTTTTATCATGGAGTCTATACATTTTGACATATAATCTTTTTGATTTTGTTTACAGAATTCTTTCCTTGATTGTAAAGTCCCACAAAATGATTTACAGTTTGTATACTTTGTTTCACTTTCACACACGTATTGAGTAAGAATGTATATTTCCGTATTATGACATTTATATAGACCAGAAACGTTCCTTTGATCTGATTCGAAAATTGTGTATCTGATAATTATTATAAATATTTACTTTACCACAATTTTCTTCATCATCACCGAGGAGGCAATGATTAATACCGTCGCAAATATGAATATTCTGTATGCAATAGTGATATGTTTTACATCGATAACTTCCTGGGAAACAATTTGTTGTTTCATCGCAATTAGAAATTTCATTATAAGGCGGATGTGTTTTTGTGTTAATAATTTCTGATGGATAATATGTTAGAGAGCATTCAGTTGTAATGATTTCAGTTCTAATCAGAAATTTGGTTTTTGAAACTGTAAGCAATTTTGAAATAGAAATATTATTAAAATTAATAAGAAAAGATACTAGAATAAGATCTTTTGTGTCTGATATTATAAATAAGATATTCCAAAAATTCTGATCGATTTCAAAATTTGTTTGTTAGTGCATTAAACAAAAATACTATTTAATAAGAATACTGTAGGAAGTCGTGTACATAGCTGAGGAAGGAAATTTTAGTGTATACAAATCTGAGCAGTGAACACCTCCTTTTCTATCAAGAAACCTGTTTGACCAAGGTTCTAATTTAAATAAATAAAAATAATTAATGTTGTAATAATCGTTCATTTCATTAAAAAAAACTATTTCAACTTGAACATTCATCTTTCGTTTCATCAGTTTTATCTGCGCAATCGTATTTTTTATCACAAAATTCATGTAATCGTATTTGCTTCCCATATTTACAGTAGGATTTACTGTCAACACGAGCTGATATGCGATCCGTAAAAGCTATCAATCGATTAATTATGAATGTAAAGGGTAGTTAAAATTTTACAAATTTGTTAAAATCTTACGCTTTCTACAGTTGTGTTCGTCGGCTCCGTCCAGGCAATCGGCTGTATTATCGCATTGACTTGACTTAGGTAGGCATTTTCCATTATTGCATCTACTATAAATTTAAAAGTTAATCATTGTAATTGTAAGCAACAAAAGTTTCGAGTGAAGACTAACAAACTGGTATCTCCAGTGCAAGAAGGAAAATCTGTGGTGAAAATGACACTTGTAATGAATATACTAAAAGTTATAAATAGGATAAGAAAATTGACTACCACATAAGTGTTCATCTGAATTATCTGAACAATCATTTATGTAATCGCAAATTAAATTGGTAGCCATTTTTTTTTCATTATTTCTACACATATAATCAAGCATTTGTGGACAATTTTCTTCATCAGAACCATCAGAACAATCTCTCTGACCGTCGCATTTGTATTTTATATTTATATAATAATTATTAGTTTTACATAGGAACAATGTATTGTTTTTTTCATGTCTACTTGGTACTAAAGGGAAAAGCTTTCCTCTTTGAACGCTATATAACTCTTTTTAATATTTGGAGTTAATTTGATGTAAAAAAACAAAGTTACTACAAATTATGAATAAATTACTTTTTTTTCCTTCACAAATAATAGTTTTAAATCGTCTTTCCTTACAATTAATTGATATGAATCCATAAATACTTAAGTATTTATAGGGTGAAATATACATGCATTTATTATTTTGTATCCAATAGTTTCTGGGTTCAAACGTATTAATTCTACATCTATTTAAAGTGTTTCCTTTTTTGAATGGAGCATTTCTTAAATAAATTTTTAATTACCCTTCATCTATGCTCTCGTAAGCCATCCACATACCTATGACATTCAATGGAATCATATCAGTATTTAATTCATAATCCTTTTGACGGTAGCTCTTTTTATTTACCAGTCCTAGATACGTATTTAAAATGATATAGTTTCATTTTAAGATATACTAAAGCTTTATTACAAACAATAACCTAAAGGAATTTCAAAATTTTCTCTAATATTTCCTAAATTAGTCTGATTATATTTGATTCTACTTGATTTTAACATATAATCTATAAATCTTGCTTCGTCTTGTGTGCTAATACCAAGCAATGTTGTATTTATTGCTTTACATTTGTCATTTGCTTGAATATGGGTAATGGATTGTTTCAATTTTAAAACATAATAACAACTCGTCCTGTAAGCATAGTAGATTCTTTCTTTTCCGAACAATCCCTTACACCCTCCTCCTAAAACAATCTCCAATTTTATCTTATTAGAATGGAAATGTAGTTTATATTATCTTTACCTGATATTTCTCGAAAGCAAGTTATTTTTAATCCTTTTACAACTAACGAATTTAAGTTCGACTCCTTAAAGAAACGAATTGAACACTGCGAGATATCTACATTCTTATTAGAACATTCTAAAGCTAGTAAAGCGTAGCCATCATCAGGGAAAAAATCTTCGACAACTCCATATTTAAAGCCGAAATGTTTGCATATTAGAATAATTTGATGTTCGGTTTGAAAGAGACTGGAAACCAAGTACCATTCTTTTGCATATAATATTTGAAACGAGCCGGTAAAATGCTCGTGATTGGATGAAAAATTTTGCTTTTCCAATATTAAATTTCCATTTTTTAGACGATACTTTAGATTTACTGCAAAATTAACGAATTTATGGAAATATAGCCAAAATTTTGGACTATTTATGAAAATACTTTACATTTTGAATTTAAATAATCATTTTTCGATGAGCAAGCGAAACTAAGACTTTGATTGTCGTAAAAACTATATTCACTATTATAGACAAAATTTGAACATCGCCCCCAGGATATTTGTGAATTTATATCCAAACAATCAAAACTTTCAACTCTTGTTTCTGATGCTTCAATAGTCCATACATTTTGTCTTTTAATCTGCTGTATTCCATTTTTTATTGGTTGCCAAAATAGTCCATTTTCTTTACAGAAGAAAGACGCAATTTTCTCTTCGTAATGTTTACTCTTTTTTGGTATGACAACTGGTTGAATTTCATTATTTTCGTTAAAAGTTACCGGCATTACAAATTGACTTATGGGGTCGGAATGTTTTGTAAAATTACTAAAACTTTTCACGTAATATATAGGCCGAGTGGATAAATTTTGGCATAAAGAGTTTGAACATTCATTAAGAGAAGACATATTAATATTCTCCTTTATGGAAGTTATTTCCGAGTAGAGTGGTTTATTAATTTCTTTGAAGTGATCATATAATTTATAGACATTTAAACAGAGATAATCAAAGTTTTTGAAAATGCATTTAACAGTTGAAGTATTGTTAAATCTTTCATATATTATAGTTTTGCTATTAATTACTGGATCATATGGAATGATTGCATAATAATCTAATTAATTAGGCATATAAATTATTGATCAATTAAAGTGATTTGTTTGTTTCTTACATGTGAAATTTAGTCTAAAACACTTCAAACACGGAATGATTGTAGTCGTATCTGTTTATTTCATTTTACATTAGTCGGTTGGTAATCATTTAACAATGGTCATTTACCTATATAATCATTGCAATCTATTCTACCCCATAAGATTTTACAATAAAATGCTTTTTTATGCTGAAAATCACCTTTAAAGATATTTTAAAGATAAACTTATTAATTAAAGTATAATATAAATTTATAGTAATATTTTATACTGTAATACTCGTCACAATTGAAAGCTTCAACCCTTAATTTATCAAAGCCCATCCTAGAACAAACTTCTTGAAGAGTTATTCTTGAAAAGAATGATGACTTATGCATCATTAAAACTTCATCATCATTATCAACTGACATAAGAATTGGACCTTGACAATAATTTTCCAAGCATTTACCTACAGGAGCATATCTGAAATGATAAGTTGAAAAACAATGACAACCGGTGATAAACATCAAAATTCTCCATAACATTTTTTCAATCTTTGACAAGAGACTATTTTAATTAATTTGCTTTCTTATAGGAATAATGAAATTTTTTAATTAAATCGATTTTTCGTTAAAATTGAAATTGAATACATTTTGAACAAAGACAAAAAGAAACACAACTTTTAACTATAATTTAATCAATTTTTCAGAATGAACGTTGTTCAATTTATACTATTATCATGTATTTTATCTATAAATTTATGCTTTTATGATAGATATCGTAGATATCCAATAAAAAATATAAGTTGGCAACTATTAAAAGACTATGTCATTTGTGATGATATTTCGTGTAGAGGACCCCCTGTTTTCAAATTATCAGGGAGAAACTATTTTCTTCATGGAAGAGAAGATGTTGTTCATCATATACCTTTTGTTTGCAATAGTAGCGGTTTCGATCAGCTTCACGGCCATGGATACGTTTGTTTACAGGGTATTTTTCAATATTGTTTTCAATCTTAATTCCTAATCTAATGTTGTTTTCACTTTTACCAGAACGGAAAACCTTTAATGTTGATGTTGAATGTAAAAATTTTTTCAAAGAGAGCTGTAAAAGTTCAATCTCAGTAGAAGAACAACTAGATTTTTATCTTCTATCAGTTTGTGTTAAATGTTGGAGAAGGAATCATACGTGTATTGGCTTCATCATTTTATATAAATGTTACTTTTAAAACAAACTGTTTTCTCATAGACTTGTACTACTTTCCCGAAAGTGAAAGATTCGATGAAAGATCTGTCGTTTTTGCTCGATATAATCAAAAATCTTATAGATTCTGTTCAAAGTCTAATTTCACTAATAACTGGACGCAATTCTGTAAGAAAAATGTTAAAAATCTAGATGGTTTTAACGATAAAGTCGGTATAGAAAAGGATTTAATTATGCTATACGAAAAAGAGAGATTTGTTATAATGGAAGAAGATTCCATTAGTCTAGGAATAATTAAATGTAATTTTAAATGTTTTTTTGATTATAACATTGAATTTAGACTTGTGGATAAGCAGTTTTTCTCTCCTTTTACGCTTGTTAATTCAAACATAAAAATTGTTACACAAATTATTAATAATTTTCCTGTTGTTAGTCTGTTTACTAGTACAAAAAAAGAGAAAGAGATATCACGTATGGCTATAGCATGCGAAACTTTCAACAAAACAGTAGAATCTTCACCTAGATCTACATTTATGGGTCTTAGTGAATTTTATATGTCAAGATATAATTTCGTCTTAGACTGCTCTAATAATTCATTTACGCTTTACGATTGTTTGAAAAACAAAAAGTTCAGTGGAGGAATCGACGTTGTGACAGTAGTTTGTACTGAACAAACAACTAATAAACAAGCAACAATAAGGAATAGTTTGATACAAGTATTTGGTAAATTATATATTAATATTAATTAATTTATAGTTAAAACTATATTTTAATGAAAAATTGCTTTTAGGTCAGAAATTTCGTCTTAAAAGTAAAGAATTAAATTATCAAAATAGGTTAGAAGAATTTAAAGGAATTTTGGAAGTAAACTACAAATCAACTTGGCAATTAGTATTCTTGAAAAAGTTTGGTAAACACGAAGCAAATGTACTTTTCAATAAATTATCCTTTCATTATTATTCTCCTATAATTAACTTATTTAATTGTATTAGTTAGTTTGCACCATGTTTGGATTTAAAAGTGGATCAATTTTTACTAACTCTGACGTTGAAAATATAAGACGATACATCTATTCTATATATTGTCCAAGAAATGTGGACAATATATATAACTGTTCAATTACCGATTTCCTAACTAGTGATTTAGATGTTTATCGAACTGTTGACATTGAACTCTATTGCACAAATTATCCACCTAGCGGTAATATTTTTAAATAATACTTTATATGCTGTGTATTGTATATTTATAAAAGATTATTCCAAATTTAGAATGTCCATTCATCGAAAATACAATCAACACTTTTTCAATTCAAAATCTTTGCTATTACGTATATAAAACAGATAGCAAACAGGACAATTTTTGCCAAACAAAAAATCTATCACCGCTATTTTTCACGCACGCTCAGCTTGACCTAAGTATGATTTCTTTAGGTGTCTTTGAACTATCGCACATAGGTCAAACACTATATATAAAATTAGGTATTGTACTAAAATATTAAAATATCCTATATTTACTTACTGCTGGTTATATTGAAAATTGAACGATTTTAATTAATCCTATAGAGAAAAAGACATTCAAAAATCATTTCAACAAAGATATAACTCTTTTAAATAATAATCGACCAGCAGTTTTAGCGTTAGATAACGCAACAGTTTCCAATAAAAAGTTTGTATTTTACTCTTTGCTTACTAACTCCAAAAAGACTTTTGTTATATTTTAAAGTCATGAAACGAATGCTAAACTTTTGGAAGAGGATAAATGCATTTATTTAGAGTACACATCAACCGCTCCTGACAAACCATTTTTCTTCTATTTTAAATGTTCAAGTGGCCCTTATAGAGACATCAGAATAATTTGTATACACGTATTAGCAGGTTCGTAATCATGTGTAAACTTCATTTACTGTATATACAAATAAAAACTTGAATGCAAAAATGAAATAGATCAAGAATTATCGCTTTTACCATCTAAATATTTGTCGGATAGTAATTTAACTCTGTGTCATAAACTTGGTTTCGTTTGTCAAAAAGATTTAAACTGTATTAGTAAACAATATCAATGTGATGGAATTATTGACTGCTACGATCAATCGGACGAAAGAAATTGTTTGAATGACATTTTCAATTTTGATATACTTTCAGTTGATGCTTCACTGTTTTGCGATTATCGGAATGATAGCGAATACGGTCAAGATGAAATAGATTGTGGTTAGTTGAGAATAAAAGATATATATCACTAAGACACTAAGACATACTGTTATTCTCCTATTTAATATTTAATTCAATTTCAGATTTTAATTCATGTTTTGTTAATGAGAGGTAGCAACTTTACATTTATTTCAAAGATTAGACTATATTGAAAACATTCCTTTGATATTTTTAAGTATCTGTTGGAATAAACAGTGTATTACTAAAGATAAATTATGCGACAATGAACGAGACTGTATTGACTTTTCTGATGAAAGTTGTAAAGGTAATTCCTTAAAACTTTTGATATCGTATATTCATAAGAATTTGTTAATGGTAAATATTCAGGTGCTTGTTCAAACAAGCAGTTTATGTGTAATAATAAGGATTGTATTCCTTTAACTATGGTATGCGATTCCTACGCAGATTGTTTGAGAAGCGAAGACGAACGGTCACCAACTTGTTCAAAACTTTCAGATTGTTATTTCAGATCTATTAAATATACTACTACAGGTGATCTTTCAATTAATGTAATCAATTGCGAAAACATTACCTGTCTACCTGGACAATATCAATGTAAAAGATTCAAATATTGTATTGATTCACTAATGATTTGTGACGAAATTTCTCATTGTCCACTTTCCGATGATGAAATTGGTTGTAGTGAGTGTTAAACATTGGTTGTTAAGAGAGAAACAATTGGCAATATTTCAATTTCTATAGATTCATTTGTGATTAAAGGATACTTCAAGTGTAGAAAATACGGTACTCATCTGATAATCGACAGAGTTTGCGATGGAATTTACAACTGTCCATTGGGAGATGATGAAAATCATTGTAATGAGTCGTTCAGTTGTCCAACAGGCTGCATCTGTCCAAATGTTTTAAAAGTATATTGTAGAAATTTCACAAATGATTTGAACACTATTCAATCGTCGTTTAAATCGATAAATATTGAATTTTCATTGAAATTCCACCCGAAATACGAAGAATCTGCGAATATTTTATACGAGTTAATCTCATTGAATTTAAGATACGAACATTTCGCGAATATTGGAAATCTATTGAAAAAATTACCAAATTTAAGAATATTAATCTTAAAAGGCAAACAATTGCATCATTTCTCTTCTCATTACTTTATTCATCCAAACAGAATTCAACATTTACAATTAAATTTTCGTTATATTCATAATTTTAGTTTTCAATCTCTTCCACATTTTAAATCTCTTATTTATCTTGAACTAAAACATGTAGAAGCGAAAGAAGATTTTATTGAATTTCTCTTCGATAAAGGGACAATTATCAAAACTTTAATTTTAAGTCAACTTAATGTAATTTTATTAAAAAATCTTAAATCTAAAGAAAACCAAAAGCTAAAGGTTCTTCATCTAGACCGAATAAAACATGACAATATTCAAATTATTTCCGATTTTTTTCTTACGCTTAATTCTCTTCAAGAATTAAAAGTAAACGAATACGATATATGTTGCATAATTGGTGAAAGTAAAAGTAATGTTAACTGTAAATCAACTTTTAAAACTTCTTACAGTTGTGGAGAACTAATTTCACATCCAATATATCAATATTTCATACTCTTAAGTGGATTATTGATTTATATATTATGGATAGTCGATATCCTTATCCACTTTATTTGGAAAAGAGACTTTAACGGTTTTAATATATTGAATTTCTTATGTGATTTTTCACTAGTTTTTAGTAACGTTTTAATTGTTATTAACAATCTAAAAATAGTAAAAGCCTCTGAGATAAAGTATATATATCTAAAATATGGTAGTATTTGCCAAATATCTGGAATATTTAATTCAATTGGAATTGGATTTTCATTATTTATCGGCCTATATAACATTATAAAACCATTGTTGAAATTAAATATATTGAAAAAGAGAAATAGTTTATTTTTAAAAACGATTGTAATGATTGTATTGAATTTATTAATATTTATATTATTAATACCACTTTTAACAATTAAAGTGAGTTTTTTTTTATTAAAATTCCAAGAAATACATCAAAATTACTGTTTATAACATTTTTTCATAGAAAAATGAATGGTTTATTATAAAGTGTAATATATTTTTTATTGATAGAATAACTTTTGAATCGAAATACTATTTTATCATAATTCTTTATAGTTTACTATCTTTATTATTTATATCTTTATTTGTATTAAATTTCATATTTAAGAAGAACAAGTACGAAATAACAAGAGATGAATTACGTATCATTTCCTTCTTTCTCCTGTTCACTACTTTGATTTTATTGAGTAAATTGTTATATATATAGATCAATTTATATGTATATATATATATATATATAGATAGATATATTTTAATGTTCATTAACAGTAAGAATAGAAAATGTATCGTTAAGAAATAATATTGGCTATAGAACCTTAATCTTTCAAATTATTCCATTCTATACTTTTTTATCATTTCCCTATTATTCGAAATTTAAGAAACATATAAACCATATTATGCTTAAAGCTGACACACAGAGGTTAGTTTATTACATAAGATATTAATAGTGTAATCTAATATTAAACTCTTAAAGGAAAGAGATGTTGAA